ATTTGGTGGATATTTTGTCACGGGCCTTGAGGTCTAGAGGGTCTAAGCGGATTTTGGGCTATGGAGGAGAAGCTGTCTTTGGACTTTGATGAGGGCCTGGATTTGTATATATATTGTATATATTTCCTTCTGTTTTTTTTTTTTTTTTTTTTTTTTTTTTTTTTTTTTTGAGTAGAGAATATATATATATTTTCTAATACATATGTATTTTTTTCTTTTCTTTTCTTTTGTAATAAAATTGACTTTCTTTAATGAAACATTTATTTATTTATTTTGATGTGACTGTACTTGAAGTTTTGAAGTTTCAAGTTGCCTACGTACTCTTCCAAAGAAGAGATCAAGTCATAACGTAGTTCAAATGAGTGATGATTTTGATGATGATTTTGCCATACACAGTTTATGCTCTTGTGGGCCAGGAGCGTTTGGTGCCATTTGCAGTTTCAGCTCATGCAGACAAGGAGCTTTTGTTGTCACCTTTTAGGCTCGTGCGAACGAGGAGCTTTGGTTGTCGCCTTTTAGGCTCGTGCGAACGAGGAGCGTTGGTTGTCGCCTTTTAGGCTCGTGCGAACGAGGAGCTTTTGGTGTCGTTTGCAGTTTTAACTCGTGCAGACAAGGAGCTTTTGGTGTCACCTTTTAGGCTCGTGCGAACGAGGAGCTTTGGTTGTCGCCTTTTAGGCTCGTGCGAACGAGGAGCGTTGGTTGTCGCCTTTTAGGCTCGTGCGAACGAGGAGCTTTTGGTGTCGTTTGCAGTTTTAACTCGTGCAGACAAGGAGCTTTTGGTGTCACCTTTTAGGCTCGTGCGAACGAGGAGCTTTTGTTGCCATTTGCAGTTTCAGCTCGTGCAGGCAAGGAGCGTGTCTTTTTGATGATTTTGTCAAACGATCTTAGAGAGGCATTCCTTGCAATCTTCATAGCAAGGAGTCTTGACTGAGTGATTGAAGAAGTCTTTGGGGAAGAAATCGCGCATCGTGATGGCAACGGACGATCTTTGTGTCATAACTTCATCATCCTCAATACTTTCATGTAGCTTTGAAGGTTGACGGTAGCTGTTTTGCCCCCTTTCCGATTGGTGAACTTGTGAAGGAGACCTATGTTTCTTGTGCATTTTCTTTGGAGTGACATAAGTCCATCCTTCAACTTCACTTGACTTGACTGACATGGTTTTGGAGCATGCCCCCAGCGGTTGAGGTGAAGATTTTGAGTTCAAAGAGCCAGAAGTGACGGTGGTATAGTTTGACTTCACCACATCATTAAGATCTAGCTCGATGATCCCTTTCTGAGCCAACTTCATGATGAGATCTTTTAGCACAAAGCACTTTTCCGTCGGATGACCAATGAAGCGGTGGAATTTACAGTACCTTGGACTGTCAGTACGGTTCATCTCTTCCGGCCGTTTACACTCAGGTAGGTCGATCACCTTTTTTTCCAGCAAGTCATCTAACATGGCAACCACGTCAGAGTCGGGGAAGGGATAAGTCTTCTCCTCAAGCTCCTTCAAAGTGCGTCTACGTATCTCTTGATCACGAAAAGCTTCGGTTTGAATCGCCTTGCCTCGTGTATGGGTTTTGACTGGAGTTGTGTTGACCGTCATCGCTTCCTTGGTGGGTTTCCACGTAGCCTTATCCACCTTTGGCCCCAAAACTTTGTCATTCTTGTAGTCGGCGATCTGCTCTTTCTTCCCATGACGGGTGATGCTTAACTCCATATCATGGGCGCGGGTGGCTAACTCCTCAAATGTTCGTGGTTTGATGCCTTGAAGGATGTAGTGTAGTCCCCACTGCATGCCTTGAACGCACATCTCGATGGCGGAGGTTTCAGAAAGCCGATCTTTGCAATCCAGGCTTAATGAACGCCATCTATTTATGTAGTCGATGACAGGTTCATCTCTCCACTGTTTCGTACTGGTCAGCTCTAGCATGCTTACAGTACGACGAGTGCTGTAGAAACGGTTGAGGAATTCCCTTTCTAGCTGGTCCCAACTGTTGATAGACTCAGGTTCGAGGTCAGTGTACCAGTCAAAAGCATTACTTTTCAGCGAACGCACGAACTGTTTGACGAGGTAGTGTCCCTCTGTCCCAGCATTGTTGCAAGTTTCAACGAAATGGGCGACATGTTGTTTCGGGTTGCCTTTTCCATCGAACTGCATGAATTTTGGGGGCTGATAACCCCTTGGCATCTTCAAAGCATCAATCCTCTTGGAGTAAGGCTTTGAGTACAGTACGGAGTCGTGCGAGCTTCCTTCGTACTGTGTCTTGATAGTGCTTGCAATCATCTCCTGTAGCTGCTGGATAGAGAGAGATCCCATGGATGTCATTGCTTGGTCTGGCTTCGGCTTCTCTTCAGCTTTCTCCACTGGTGGCTCCTCTTCTTCGTCACCTTCTTTCTTTAATAGGCCAATATTTGGGTCGACTTTTACGTCGGGCAGCGCATCTAGTTGGTTGACAAGTGCGGCAATCTGCAAGTCCTTCTCTTCCACAGTCTGTGTGAGCTTTGCGATTGCTTCATTCATCTGAGCTAGCTGTTCTTCAACAGAGGTGACGCCGATGGTCATGACTTGTGCAACCAATAGGCATGACTTTCCTTCAGACATCCAGGGTGCTGATGAAGAAACCCATTGGCCATTTTGGGATGTCATCTTATGCGCCTTAGCAGCATGCTTTGGTGCCCCCAGCAAGGTTAGGTTGATGATAGACTCGCGCCTTTGATGTTCCCTTTGCTCGCTTAGCGGTACCAATTTTAAAGCGGCATGTTGATGAGTGGTTGTGGTGCCAATGGATGCTACATTCGTGGCGGAAGTGCTTATGCTTCTTCCTTTGGTGGTTGCAAGAACGGTTTGTCCCTTGCTTGATGCCATTGATTTTGGAGGTGTGCTTTGGTTGTTGTCAACTCCGTAACCATGCTCCTTCAACTTCTTTTGAGTTTTGGTGAGGTCGCGATCTTTGTCGTTGACGGTGTTTGAAACCTTCTTTCCAAGATTTGAAGAGGAAGCAAAGTCATGCCTAGCCTTTGACATGAGTTCGTAGGCATTTGGGTTGAAGCCTTCTTCGGTCCTCTTAGTTGGAAGAGAGCTTGGTTTCACCATGACACCATGTTGCGCCTCCAGACGGTTGATGAGTCCGGCGGTTTGCAAGTTTTTCTCCTCTGCAGTCTTTATCAGCCTTGCAATTGTTTCCTTCATCTGAACCAGCTGTCTTTCAATGGAGGTAGTGCCGATAGTCATGACTTGTTCTTTGTTTGAAGCCATGGACTGTGCTTGAATATCTTGAACGGAGACAGAGATGAGAGGTAGAGATTGTCCCACTGGGCGTGCCAAATTTGTAAACACGGAAAATTCCTGAAACAAGAAACAAGAATACGTGCACAAAATATATTTTATGTTTAATGATTTTGGGGTTACAATCTCTTTGTAATTTGATCCTCTGATTCTATCTTCGTAGGGTGTAGGTTTGTGGATGAGCTGTTGATCCAAAGGGCCGTCGGGGCTTGATCTAGGGATGAACAGTTGATGAACGGATCTTCGAGGGCTTTTGAGCTTGATCTTGAAGACTGGGTGTATGGATTTCTTCAAGGGGCCGTCGGGGCTTGATCTTGAGGGTTGATGGATGAGCGGATCTTCAAGGGCTTTTGGGCCTAATCTTGAAGACTGAGTGTATGGATTTCTTCAAGAGGTCGTCGGGGCTTGATCTTGAGGGTTGATGGATGAGCGGATCTTCAAGGGCTTTTGGGCCTAATCTTGAAGACTGATTGGATGTGTGGATTTGTTGAGGTTGTTGATCCAAAGGGCCGTTGGGGCTTGATCTTAGGACGAACGGATGATGAACACTTTCTTCAAGGGGCCGTCGGGGCTTGATCTTGAGTCGGCGGAAGTTCTTCAAGGGCCGTTGGGGCTTGACCTTGAAGGAGGGTTTGACGAAGAACGAAGAGTGTTTTCTTGATCCTTCGGGATTTGCTTGAGAGCTTTAGAGTTTCAAGGCTTCAAGGTTTTGGTGTGATGTGAATTCCCTTCTTTCTTTCTCTTCTTTCTCCTTTCTTTTCCTCCCTCAAATGAATGCCTTGGCTTCCTATTTATAGAATTCCAAAACTTGATTTTTGGATTTAAATAATCAGATGAAATAAATCATTTCTGCCAGGTATTGACACGTGTCCTATTTGATGACTTTTCCAATTTATTTCGATTTTTCGTTGAGTCACACGCTACATGTAAAATTTATGTGACACGTGAGTGTTGAAATTTTAATTATTGGTCAACATTCATTTCACCGAAATTTTGATGTCTACAACTGCATTCAAAGTGTTCCTTTTAATTCCTAGCCCATGATTATCTCCATATGAAATATGAACATTAATACACACTATCATGTTTTGGTTTTAGCTACCGTAAATTCATTTACTTAATACATTAACAATCTAACAATAAAATACACAATTAAAAAGAGAGAATATACTAACAGTTAAATAGTAAAGCAATTAAGGGCATATACTGTACTGTAATTAATCCTCTCTTTTTCACCTTTTTGTAAACTCTAATTCTATCCCTTGATTTTTCTTAATTTGTTTAATCCAATAACAAGAATAAAAGAGCGAGGTGCTAGAATCGAGATATAATCTGAATTTCTGTGTTTGGAACCGATGGACACGGTGATTAGAAACATTCATTTTAAATCCTACGTCATACATTAACCTATCCTACTAATTCACCTCATATAACCAAAAGTCCTGATCTCTCTCATTTCTTTGAACGGTCCAAATTTATCCATCCGTCGACTCCTAATTACGAGATTCGGAGAAGAATGAATTCGCGGTGATGAAACTGAAAGAATATGCGCATGAATTATAACTTGATTATAAAACGAAAAAAAAATAAAATTAAACAGATTATAAAAATTAAAATTAAAAAAATTAAAACGGCCACGAACCCTCCCAGTCTTGAGCGGGCTGGCGGTTATCCCTTTCGCCAATCCAACACGTCTTCGTATCCCGGACTCTGCGGATTCGTAGTTGATGTCAATTAGTCAAATCCCCTTCACTCCATCTATACATTTACCTTCCAAATCAATTCAAATCACAGAAGACGGATCCGATTCTCCCATTGCAATTTCTCCACCCAAAGGTTTCCCATTTCTTGAACAATCGAATCCAACCCAACCCACATTTTGAATTTCGATTTTGATCCTCACCATTTCTGCAATCTCACTCAGATCCAACCGCACCAGCAACTCGTGTAAGCTCCGATCTTCCTTTCACTCTATCTGAATTACCCATTTGTTGTTCATCTGGATCTTTTTTCGATTAATCTGAAAGATATGAGCTTTATTTGTAAATTTTACCCTTTTTTTTTTTTAATTTGTTTTGTGTGTGTGTGTGTGTGTGTGTGTGTGAATTTGAATGGTCATATGAATTGCGCTGTGAAGTGGGAAGAAGATGGAGGGGACTGTGTTCGCTCCTGCTCTGGAAGGATTCAAGACTGTCAAGTCCGAACAAGGAGAGATTCTGACCAAGCCCTTCCTTGATGTCTGCAAGCAGATTTTGCCTGTTATAGGTTCATTTCTCCCCCTCTTTTGCTCTGACCTAGAAATTGAACCGGGTTTTCGTTTTCGTTAATGCCCGATTGCTGTTTGTACCTGGTTTTTAAGCACAATGCTAGCTACCCATTTGTTAAAATTTTATAATATGAGCTTCATGAGTTGGTTCTGGGCTTGATCCTTTTGACTTACAAGTTGAAATTTGAAATTGATGTTAGATAAGTTTGGAGCTGCTATGACCCTTGTTAAATCGGACATCGGAGGTAACATAACGGTAAGAATGTTCTTTTACTTATATTTTCCCCATTTGTGCTCGCTGTGAGTTTAGTAGAATTATGTTTTGTGTTGTCTAACTTGTACATGTCAGTGATCTATATTTCCATACTATGTAAACAAGTTAGATCATCTTTTAGTTTTTTTTTATTTTGAGTGCCCATTTGTGTTCTCAATCTCGTCAATTTTGGGTTTTTACAGAGATTGGAATCTAAATATACATCCAATCCTGCCGCATTCAACCACTTGTACAGATTGGTACAAGTTGAGATTGAAACGAAAACAGCAAAAGCATCATCCAGCTGCACCAATGGTCTTCTTTGGTTGACAAGGTAAATGATATGATCATTAACGTGTGTTTTTGTGCTTTAATGATGTTGCACTTTGTTAGAATTGATACCTCATATGTATGATACTATTCTTATTCATTTCAGAGCAATGGATTTCTTGGTAGAGCTATTCCGGAACTTACTGGAGCATCAAGATTGGTCAATGTCACAGGCTTGTACAGATTCCTACGGCAAGACCCTGAAAAAATATCATGGATGGCTTGCTAGTTCAAGTTTCAGTGTAATGTCTCTGATGCCCCTTCCATTATTTGACGCACTACCAGTTTTCATACTGGCTTTAGTCCTTTGATGTCTTATGCTGGACTTAGATAGTACTATGACAGTGATTATATTTCTGCAAGTTCAGTGCTTCCGTTTTAAAATGCTTGACTGTGTAAAATTTTCGTTTTGTTGGGCCCTGGAGGTACTCTTATGGTTTTGCAAATCTCTATCTTTATAAACTACTCTTTGATGCTATTCTTTCTCTTGTACAAGAATTTAGGCATGTAAAAAGTACAGATCAGAAACCAAGACACTATTAGTTTTATTAACCCTGGAAGCTTTTTTGTGTTTTCCCTTTTAGAAAAATCCCTATCGTAATAGTCTTACTCTTCCAGTAGAGGATGGTTTCTAAATTTCTGATACTACGAGTAAAGTCCACTTAGATTTAATCATCCATTAGTTGATCATTTCTGTGAGATTTAATTATTATACAGTTTCGTTTTAGTATTTCATCTCTTGTTTACTGAGTGTTTGATATATATAGCGAACGAGAACTTTTGTCTTCTAGAAATTTGGACTTACTAGTCACTATAATGATAGGTTGCCATGAAGCTTGCTCCTGACCGAAAGAAGTTCATGGAGGTGATAGGAGGCAACGGCGATATCATGGGTGACATAGAGAAATTCTGCACTGCCTTTACGCCTCTTCTTCAAGAGAATCACAAGTTTTTGGTAAGGTTTTATTTGTGTTGCCGAATTTAGTGAGAGCGAATTTCTATGACATCATTGTTTAGTTCTGAGGTTCAAAGTTGCATTATTAATTGACCACAATGATTGGGTAGAATGACCAATGGATGATTAAGGGAGAAGTTGAAGGAACAGACTCTATTCCATTAATTAGCCACACAAGATTGAGTTTGGACAACGCTCTGTTTCGAAAATTCCCCGAACTATTGCTCTTGAAACACGTTATACTAAAAAGTAACTGGGGTCTTGTAAGATTAGTGAAACTCAAGGGAAGTTCCGTAATTTCCTCCAGTTGTGATTCCATTGATTTTCTATTTGGAAACAACAATGAGAACTGAAGACAATAAATTAACAACTGATTTGCTATCGGAAACAGTTAAAATATATGCTGACGAAGTTTATTCTATTGACACAGGCTAGGGTCGGCATGGATGATTTGAAGGCTTCGTAATTGAGAAGGTTTTCTGATGAGAGGAAGCTCGTGCTCTTGGACATGTCCTAGTCCTTCAACTTAAAACATGAAAAATAATGCGACTTTTTTCCTGCATTTAACTTGGATATTTGATTTTATGTTTAATGTTCAATTCTTATGAATGTTTATTACACAGGGTATCTGATTGTTATTTGGTTTGATATGCTGCGTTTCTTGCTCGTGCCTTGAGTTGTTATCATGCTTTCTTCTTGTATGCTTAGGTTGATGTGAGATATTGGACGAAACCAGTGTTTAAAATATCGGTATCGGTGGAAATATCGATATGCGAATTTGTGGAAATATCGACGGATATATCGAATATCGATATCAGTCGCTTTTGATGGAAATGATGGAAGTTTAAATTGAAACTTTAGGGATTGTCAAGCATTGGTTTGGACGAAAAATAAGAGTTTCTCTGACTTTTAAGATGTGTTAGAAATATTGATGATATCTGTCGATTTTAACTTAAACCTAAAAGTTTCTTCGATATGAGGTGAAGTTTAGACTTCACTCCCCATTTTTATGTCTTTCTTTGATTTGTTCTTGGATATTTCCATGGAAATATCAACCAAGTTTTTATATCTTTCTTTGATTTGGACATACGCAACAAGAAATTCGAATGGGTAAATTCAGTATAATCGATTTCTAACGTTACGCGAGGCCTTTGGTTTTCTCCACTCTCTTTATTTGTGGCTTGATTTCTCGAAAGAGATCCTTTCCACCCTATGGATTTCTTTACTATAGAAAATCACACCCTGACCTATCTTCGCCTTCCCACATTCTCTAACCATTTGGGTTTCGGCCCATAAACGAGACATAAGCTAGTTCCGTAAATTTGAACTAACTTCGTTCGTAAAAGAACATCGACAGCGCCTTTTAGTATTCAGGTTATCGCCTTTTAGTATTAAAGAACAAGAGCAGAACGTATTAAAACTACTGACATCTATCGATCATGATTAAATAAAGTGGATATTAAGTCAATTTTCTCATATATTCTTAACTTTCTTGATTCATAACTTTATAAGTAAAGACCTCATAAAACGTATTTTTGAGCTGTACAAAAAAAAAAAAAAAACAAATGATTTATTGGAGTGAGCCGTTGTGGGTGAATTAGAAAATGATAAAAAATTAGGAAGAGGATGATAAATAAGATGTGAGCAACTAGTACAATTCCACAACTGCCACACAATTGTTTTTCCCAACCGCTTTTGCCGCACATTCACCGAAAAACCGTTAACAAGCCCCCTCACCCAAATTTGGCCTATGGTTCTCGCCATTTCTACTTCTATCTTTCTTTTGCACCCGAAAATCCAGTGAGCTACAGGTTTTGATGATTGGCCACCGGGAACGACCACTGCACTCGCCACCGGGACATCCATCAAAACCTGTGCTCTCCTTTCAATTCTGATTCTTCTCGGATTTTCCGACTCATGAAAAAAATTAGGTCAGACCCCATGGCACCACATCCCACAGTTGCAAATCTGGGTTTGTAAATTGACCTCTCATTGCCCAGTTGGATTATTTGGGTAGGGTTGGCAACATTTATCATGATGTCTTCACATTGCTAGACCTTGTTGTACCATGCTGAATGCCTTTCTTCTCAAGGTACCAGAACTACATTTCTTTTTTTTTTTTTTTTGTGTTTTTGGATCAATGGGGGAGGCGGGATTCTTACTTTTTTGTGTTGCGCTAATTGGGGATCAATTTCGAAAATGACACAAGGTGGTGTAGCAACTAGCAACTGACGAATATTCTTTGGGAAAAGGAGTTTCCAAATTGTTGCTGGAGTATTGATTCTTTTCTCTGTTTTGTGGTTTTCATGATCAGGAGCTTGTCATACGCATTGTTGCTTTCTTTGCATTTGAAGTTTCGAATAAGCGCTGATGTCCATACGCGCTACACTCGCAACTTAATTTTCTGCTGAAGGTTTCTTCTGAAGTGCATGTCCTGAAGCACTTGAGCCAACAAAATGGCTACAAAGGTGAAGGGGCTCTTGAAAGGCCTGAAACACTTTTCGCAAATGTTTGGTAAGTGCAATTTCCGTTGATTTTTCAAACATTAATTAGATGCATTTGGTTTCTCATCATACTATGTCCTTGTCATGAATTGACTAGATAGTTGTGCGGTGTCTGATTTCAACATATGTTCTTGGTGAAATTAGCTTGCAGTTCCTATCGTCAGCAAGAATTAACAATGCAAACTAAAATATTGCAGGATTTTTTGCTTTTTCCTTAATGTCTTCAGGATGATATGAATAATCTTTTACCAGATGTTGAAAAGGAAGGGCAAAGTGATTGACCAAGTTGTACAATTTTGCAGATGAGAAAAATGATGACATACAAATTGGATTTCCCACAGATGTTAAGCATGTTGGGCACATTGGATGGGATGGTCCATCTACAAATAGTACTCCGAGCTGGGTACGTTGCTCGCTCTTCCTGTCTCTCGATCTTAAACATCCACACTAGTTAATCATTCTTAATTCAAAAAGCACATTTTTTCCATTTTACATAAAATTGTGACCATGACAGTCATCTTGCAGATGAATGAGTTCAAAGGCGCTTCTCCAGAAGTCTCATCCCCTGGGCAATTGACTGTTAAAGAACTGTCCTCCCAAGGTTTGCTAGTTTTTCTAACACAACATATCTTTTCCACCTCATAGTATTAGCCTTGCCTATTCAGATTGACAGTCTGACAACATAGCATGTCACATGTTGATGTGACATTAAAATTGATCACTGTCTTTTGCAGATATGCATAAAACAAGCCTTACTGCCCAAGAATTGGTGCAGCGAAATGACATTCCAAGGACTAGGCGTCATTCCACAGATGAATCTGAAGGTTCCCCAACCAAGAAGAGCTCTGATGGATCAAAGAAGCATTCTAGGCGCCACCGCTCCAAGGAAGGACCAATGGATTCTCCGTCTCGCGAGTCTCGAGAAGGTAGTAGCAGTCATTCAAGAAGAAGCCGAAATTCTAACAATCTTGGATCAGAATCCCCCTCACAAGACCCCCCTGGAATACCAAAGCAAAGGAAGAAAAAGGGGTCATCTGAAGGCGGGTCAGCGAGGTCATCAAGAAGGGCAAACAGATCAAAAGGCCAGAATTCTTTGACTGAGATTTCGTTGGAAGGTTCAGTGCATGGATCCAAGAGTGGAGAGAGTCCAGTGCACCCAGTTTTGGCAGAAGCAAAACGTTCCTCGGGCGGGAATAATGTGAACTAAATGCACAAATTGAGGTCTGAAGTTCTTAAACCCTCGAAACCGAAAGTGTGACACTTTGCTTGCTTGCTTCATTGATCATATTTTATTTTTAATTTGTCATGTTGATAGCTGTGACGTGCAAAGCTCCAAGTGAGATTTGAGAAGTTTGGTTTCCAATTTATGTACTGTCTTACTGCCTCTAGAATACGTACAAACAAATTTGATGAGTCGAATGAGTCTACAACAGCCGGTGTTCGATTCTCTCACTCCATCAGAGGAGTTTTCTTGGTTCATCATGTTGTTTCCAAGCCAAGTATTTTATAATTATGCCAAACCCCGATCCTAACTCGTACACGAGGTTCTTCTCCAGCCTAAAGATTTTATTCTGCTGACATCTCAAATTCAGTTTGACACAGGAAGCAATTGACGTAAAAAAATCTCTCTAAAAGTGGGGGTCCATGCCCCAATTTAGTTCAAAAAGATATTTAGTCTCCGGCGGGCATTCCTTTGGGTGCTGCTATGCATAATTTTTATGCAACTCTTCTCGCAGAAACTCCTCTTGTAAAACAGATTTCATGAAAGAATCAAGAATAAATTCCTTCAAATATCTGAATGCAAATCATTTTAACGAAAATGCGATCTAGAGAACTCAGATTGTTTCCAAATTCCGTTCCTTGTGAATCAAGGCATACTCACGCTGCCGGTTGTAGGTCAACTTGACAAGCTCCTTTCCTCCAGAGATTAATGTAAACACTAAAAACTTGTAAGCAATAACAGAATGCTTTTACAATTAATGATAAAGTACAGCACACAGCCTGTGTTTGAGGAAAGTGAGAGCGTTCAAATTAAATCATTCCTCTGACATGCGAACATATGAATTAGTATTCGAAAATTACTGTTTTTGACTGATAACTGAGCGGATCGATTTTATCTAATCTTGCTTCAACTTTCAAGCCACCACTCCACCAGCATATTAATCTCGTATATATACCTAAACTAGGTCAGATTTCAGATAGCTTTGTAATGTGAAAATTGGAGAAAAGAAAAACAGTAAAATCTATTGCAATAATGTAGGATGAGTTGGAGATTATTTAATATACAACTTTCAATGGAAAACACCGTACAATTTCATCGAAACCAAATGAAAAGATTCGAATAGGGCCTGACAGAAGTTCAAATCTAGCTTGCATTTCTTGTGAATGATGAATGACAGTGGAATTTGGTTCACCAACCCAAAACCATGTGGAGAGTGGAGCCTTTCTGAATGTTGTAAATTGAAAGACGGCATGCATCATCAAGGCGTTTACCGGCAACTACAATACTCTGAACATGAACCGGCACTCTGACCTTGCAAAATATCTTGTCCTTCACCTCTCTGACAGTAGTCTTTCGTGTCACGTCAAGTGTAATGGTTTTCCCACTCCACGTGTTAATAAATATCTGAAACCAAAAGGGCAGAACTTCTAAAGTGGAATTTTCTTCGACCTGGTAGAAATCCAAGGTCTTGCAATCCTGCAGCTCATTTCCTGCATAGATCATACTGCAATCGGTAACAGGACACCCGATAAAGCTCTCAACAATCGTTTTGATATCCCAGACAGTGTATAAGACCTTAACCTCAAATTTAACCATCTTTCCGCTTGGTATTTTCACAAAAATCGACATCACATCTCTTGGATTGAAAATCACATAAAGGGTTGATTCTGTTCGAATGTCAAGTGACGCCAATGTCTGGTAATCTTCAAGTAGTTTTCCTCTACAAACTAGAGAGTACTGGCCTGATTGGACTCCCTCCTTGGACCAGATCATGGATTTGATGTCATTGATGATATTGTACCCTTTTGCTTCCAATACAACAGTCTTCCGATTTGACGGAAATTTCACATATATTTTCATGCTCATTGAGTTCGGGTGACATATACCATAACTTGGTTCCTCCGGAGTTCCTCGATCAGCTGGTATTTGGCTATTGTGAAGCCAATTAGTATTATTACCCAAGAGACGCTCCTGAGGGTTTTCGGCTTTCAAATTTTTAATTACAACAGACTTCTTGATCCTCACACATATTTGTTTCAAGACCTTCCACGGTATATTCCTCTGCTACAAAGACCAAACAAATTAATCTCATGAAAAAAGTTCAGTTTGAAGGATGCACAAAGAAACAACTTCAGCTGTGTAACGAAGAACAAGAAAACGAAATAAGAAAATGTGAGAGGAAACATAAGAAAAAGAGAGATGGATTTATAATGTTCCGATGAAAAAAAAAATAAGATGATGTAAATAAAAGGCAATAATAAAACCTGCTGACGAGATGAATCAGAGTAACTTGATGGGAGTGTTCGGAATCCCCGGCGTGAGGGTCTACGGAGTCTCAGTGATTCCATTGGAAATTTTCAAGACCGAATAGTGATTGTTCAGATTGCCAGGTTTCGGCAAAAAATTGTATCTCGGATGAAACTTGGAAAGAAAGAAATGAAGAATGAAGAGTCTCTAAGTAGCTGCCTTCCCAACAAGACGAAAAATGTTATAAAAACTCAACAACAACAACAGCACAACCCATTTCCGCTGACTGATGAGACGATATAGTAAACTACAATGTATTGGGAGGGAGATTCGAACTTGAGTGCAGAAGGAGGACACAATGACGAATAGGCATAATCCATGTCAGCTGTGGTGCTCTTAGTATATAGCAAACCGAATAATACCAACACTAAAAGCCATAGCTTTGAATGGTAGGACAAAAGGAAATCTCCAAGAATGTCAACCCTATATTTGTTTCAAATAATTTAAGGTGAGGTTCAATTGATTAAGGAAGAAAGAATTATAAACTGATTAAAAATCAGCATATATACTAATCATAGATAATAATAAGTGGTTAGCGTTTGAATTGACTGATATAGTAGCTGGGAAGAAACTTCAGTTAAATTGCATATCAAAAGTTCTACTTACTATGTCTTATAACCAAAGTTCTAAAAAACGCTAGGCACTAGTCTAGCGGTAGGTAGAGGCTTAGCTCCTAGGCGGGCGCCTAGACTGCCTACGCAGATTTATGTAAATTTTTTATATATCTTGTAAATAAGTGCCATTTACACATAATAAAAAATAAAAAAAACTATACTTGTATGGATAATAGAAAATTGATAAAATGCAAAAATAAAAGTAGAAGAATACCTAAAGTACATCCATCCAACAAGTTCAATATTTAAAAAACAGTAAGCATATAATCATAATGAGGAGTATTCTTGGATGATAGACTACATTCTTCTTGTTCATGATATTTGCATTGGATTGGACATAAACTAAATTATTTAAAGTTGTTGTATCTAGTTCTTTTTTTTTTTTTTTTTTTTTTTTTGTATGTATCCCCTCAAAAGTTCTCCAATTCATTTCACAATTGGATGAACTTGTAGTCAATCCATCCTTTGCAAATTAGGTACACCATTTCCATAAGTATACCACCTTGAAACTAAAAAATAAAAAAGCACACAATTAATTAAAAATAAAATAAAAATCAAGGATAGCCTGGCCTGCCTAGCTCTAGACCGATTTTTCGAAACTATTTGCCCTAAATAGAGGAGGGTCTTCACCGCTTAGCGCCTAGGCCGATTTTTAGAACACTACAATTAATTATATCTAATCATCTTGGTTAACGTTGCTAGAACTACCATAGGTGTGTGGCTTAGCAGGGCAGTGAAATTAGATAAGGAATTAGTTTAATTCCACAAACCATGAGTGGCACTTAGCACCATTTTATAGCTTTCTGGATTAGTAGAAGTATACGTGAAGTAATCATGATACTTTTTCTAACCTTGATTCTAGTTACAATGCAATTTGGTTCTTCAGTCATCCATATCCCAATCTAGATTTATATGATATGAAATTATGTTAAATCACATATAGATATCAATGATCACCATGATACATCTGTTCAAGCAGTTCTTACAAATATAACTTGATAAATAGTTATTCTAGCTAGATATTTTTGAGATTGACCTTTAAGTGGCTTCAAGGGATCTCTGCTTCTATTGAAAAATTACCAGAAGGTGACAGATTCATTATTAGCGTTCATGTAAACGCATCTCCATACTCATACATATGAACTTGAGTATCACATTATCGGGTCTGCGAAGTAGCGAGGGCTTTGAAGTGAAATCAAAGTTAAGCATAAGATATCTAAAATGCCTAAGATCTGAGAACTATTTGCATATTACAACTAGAAGCTTTCTAACGACATGTGATAAACATCCATACGTTTAAGCTTCTTGGATAGTCATTGTTCAATGAACTTGTTCAACTGGTAAACACCTGTATATCCACACGTGTCCAACCTGCGTAGAAGGAGATCATGCTAATTTAATGTCATATACACCAGCCTTTTCTGATAATCAATGTCCAATTAACTTTCCAATGGCTGGGAACTTTATTTAAGAATTAAGTGAAATGGAATACATGTCTCCCTGCCCTAACCTTGTTGCTCCTTGAGGACATTGCTTCCATAATATAAAGCAAAACTCATGAATTAATTAATCTTGCTCTTTATTAATGAATTAATATGGAGTTGTTATGACACGCCCCGATCCCAATATTCCCCAAATACCAAGATAGGCACATGCTGGCCGATACCCGAGGGTGACGAAAGCCATTTATTGAGTACAAATGTTGAAAACAAGGGGTAGATAAGATTTATAAATATAAAAGAATAAAGAATATGCATTTAATGAACGTGTTCAGAGCATACAACTAACTAGAACACTAAAAGAAATAATATAAAATTGAATGAAACAAAGGATGGATCCTACATCGAGAGGACTCGAAGATGCCAATGTGGAAGTGCCTTGACTCTGGAATTGTATGCCTTGATTCTAAGTCTTGAAGGGGGCGCAAAACAAACATGAGTGGACCAAGTTGATATATATATATATAATAAAACAATTATCAACGTATTAACCCCTAGGTTTTATGAAAACACATATAACATGATAAAATAGGTTTTCTGAAACCTAGCATGTCGTGCAATGTCTCACAACATATCTTGTATAGATAATAATCACTAGTGAATGTCCAATATCCCTCTAGGCCCTATGCCAGCTCCTCGTCTCTGTGCAAACAGCCAAAGGAAAATTACCCCCAGGCCCCGTGCCAGCTCCCTGTCCCTGTGCTAATAACCAGAGGAAAAATCCTTCAAGCCCTATGCCGACACCATAACCGTTGCCCGGGACGGACTGGAATCTATCCCTCATCCCATAGCGGAACTGGGACCACTAGTTAAGTACAAAACCATTGAACATACATATATTGAAAAGCAACTTCATAGTATAAAGTCATCCATCATCTATACTATAAAGAGGTGTTCTAAAGGTGTTCTAAATATCATATCGTCATCCATAAGATATTCTATAAGAACGAGTTATAAGAAAAATAGTAATAATTCAAAATAGCCTCAGTAAGCATTTTATCTCATAAAACGTTTCATAAAACGTAATCATTAAATCATGTTTTTCATGTATGCATTTCTACTATTAAAACATGCATTTTTAGAAGGGGTCTACTCACAGATACTTAGCCGCTGAAGAATCATGCAAACTAGCAGAGACAAAACGCCACAATAAATTGCCCCTAAGCACATAAAGGGTACAATTAATAAAACTTTACTCAAATGATTGAATTTGGGAAAACGGACGTCAGAAACGAATTCAGGATGTCGAATTACTCTAAGAAAGGTTCTGAGTAAATTTCGTAAAAGTCAATACAAAGAATATTTCAAAGAATATTCCTTGATGAAATATTCCCTAATGGAATTCCCCATAAAGGGTTTGAAAGGTTAAAGGGTTTAGGCTTAGACTTTTAGGTGGGTTGGGTTTAGGGGATTTAGAGTCACGGGCCTAAGGCCCGACTTCCAAATGGCCTAAGGGCCTTAAGCCAATAGGGGTTTTAAGAGAAATGGGCGTAGGGCCCAACAGACATGGCCCAAGGGCCTTTAATAAAATAAAATAAAACAAAACTAAAATGAAAAGGTTTGGGCCTTGGTTTTTAAACTAAAAGGGTTTAGGGCTTTAACATATAAGGCCCAAAGGCCTTTAAAACCAAAAATAAATAAAACAGAAAAATATAGGATTGAGTTGGGCTCGACAGGAATGGCCCGAAGGCCTGGGAGGTTTCTTGGGCAGGGTTCACGTCGGAGAGGAAGGCTAGAGTTTCGACCGGAAATTAGACACACCTTAGACACTCATAACTTTGTCAATACTCAACGAAATCGAGTGATTTAAAAAGAAAATTTATTGTACTCAACGAGACGAAGAAACTGATACCTTGCACGCCGGGCAACTAGCCGTGGTTTGGCCGGAAATTGCCTTGAAATGGGCGGTGCTCGTTGGAAAATTTGGAAAAGCTACTCTGACCTATGTACTGCGATTCACACATATAGACCACTTATAACAACCTTTGATCTAACCCTAAAACACAACCCAAGGGTTTTTAGAAGCTTACCAACGTTGGAAAAATACGAAACACGTCGGAGAAGACGACAAATAGTGATAGCTTCACTGTGGGGCTTCCCATGCACGACCTAGGGTTTTTGGGGCTCTTCCATCCAGGTGGATCACAAAGAAGAGGACGGTGGGTTTGTAGAGTGATGAGAATCGGAGAGAGGGAGTTCGAAAGTGAAGAGAGGGATAAAGGTGAGGGAGTTGTGAGATAAAAGAGAGAGAGAGAAAGACTTTTCAGAAAAAATGAAAGAAAATGAGAAGGAAACCGATGAACAAATCAGGGGGTGGGCCCTTGGGCTCACCAATTAAGACCCAAAAACCATTATTTTAAACAAAAGAAACCCAACCAAAGTAAAAATACAAAAATACCTTTTTCATTCCGTAAAATTCGGGACGGGTTGTTACATGTTACATAATATCTAATATTGCAAAATTGGTTTTTAACACACAATTTCAACAATCTTCCACTTGCACTAAAGCTAATGCTCATAATGACGCACACCAAAACTATCTAGATGTCGATAAAGCAGCTTCTATGTTATCACCTTAATTAGTGATTAGGTTCGCTACATTTTATGCAGCATTAACTCTTAATCCTAAACCACCTTCTTCTTCACAGATTCTATAATCTTGTAATTAACGATGCTTTTTTATTTTTGTTTCGAAGATTCATGAAATCGTAGTTCCTTGGATTGAGCTAATGCCCCATTTTAATCACCTAATAATATCATTAGTGATTCAATAGTAGGAGCATTTACAAGTCCAGTGATGAACTTGGTTATCCAAAACAACTTTTCGATTAGCATTGAAGCAGAATCATATTTTGTTTCTCATACTTTACCTCTCTCTCCCTCTCTCTCTCTCAAACTTTTCTGTCATTTTTTATCTTCTCTCCACTCATCACCTCTCTCCATCCATGACTCCTCACCTCACCACGACCGCCAATTTCTTCCCCTCATGATGTCACCCACTCAAAAACCTCCCACTCTTCTCCTGCAACAGCATTAGCAACCCAACAAATCAACCCTAACACAACCTCCATGCGCTCTCCTCCTAATGCTCACCGCAACAGCGGCGACCATCCCTTCCACTCCACCATGTCGCTCCGAAAATTAAGGCGGTTCAACTAGAACGAACATATTTGTAGTGGGAGCGAATGCGATAATGGTGATACATTCTCTTCGCCGAGGTCGTCCACCTATGGTTCGATTGGCCATGACCAGGTCCTCCATTTTCTCAATTTCTCTCATTTTTTAAATTAATTTTTAAAATTATGAATAATCGTAGCGATAATTCGAAGTTGTTAGTGATTCTGAATTTCCGAGTTGATAGTATTTCGATTTCTAAATCTGATATGTTTTCCTTTCATTCAAGTTCTTCTCGTATGGTTAGGAATCTCACACTCTCTCTACTCAACAATTGTTTAATTTCGAAAATCTAAATTTGCCTCCTACGGTTACTGAAGATGAGACTGAGGAGGAGTTTAAAAACTTCAGTCAAATTATACATGATGAGGGTTGGCAAGGTGCTATTGTCTCTAAAACTATGAACTAGATCGGAGCTAAAGTAGAAATTGGTGCATGCAGGAAATTAGAGTCTACTACGCTTTTATTAAATGTGAAGACATTGCTGGCGTTCACAATGCAATCAAGGTTTTATTTTTTTGTGATAAGTTGTTGATCAAGTTTTTTTCTTAGGAACTTTAACGAAAAGCTCTCGGTACTGTTCAATTTAACGAAAAACTACATTTTAACTTTAAAAAGTCAATCATGGTACTATTCACTTCCAACACATTTTTATCATTTTCGTTAAAGCTCAAAGTTTTCAAACTTTTTTCATTAGTTTTTCTTTTTTTCGTTCGTTTCAAAATGTTCATTGGATTCAGGCAAATTTCCTGTTATTTGTTGAAAGTCTTGTCAGTTCTCATATATAGTTATGCATCTATTGGAGATTCTTAAGGCATACTGCATTTGTCTTTGGGTATTCAATTGTTAGAGAGTTCCCATACTTGCACTATTGTCAACATTGATGAACTATCTGCCTTCGTATTTGCTTTGTTATAATTTTTTGGGTTTGTGCTTGTAATTTGTACTTGTAGACTTAAATATGTGTGGGGTTTGGTGTTGTGGCACTTTTAAGGTAATTTGGTTGCACATGAATGCCTGAATATTTCAATGCTAAGTGTTATTTGGATATTTTGTTGACTATGGTCAGTTATTAGACAATCTCTATGGGATTCGGTATAGAGAATTAAAGATCATTCCATTATTTTTAAGTTAATGTGGATTGATGGCCTGTTGTTTCTTCAGTCAGTTACCTTTATTAGGAGGTTATGTTGTCCTTGGGGCATAATATTAGAATACAATATAACTTTGATTGTAGTGTTTTCCTTTTTTGGGTGTATCTTGTGGATTACTGGTCCATTGCTGTTGTAGTTTGATGTTTAGCATATTATAAATCCATTAAAATCTCTCAAATTCTCAATTGAATCTCTCAAATCCATTAAAATCTCTCAAGTTGATAATTTTGAAATCAAGGATTGTTTGTTTGCTATTGGCCCCCTTAAATCTCCTGGTATTAATGGGTTTCTAACCCTCTTCTTTCAACATTGTTGGAATGAGTGCTAATGATGTCATCACTTTTGTTCAGCATTGTTTTCAGCATAGAGGAATTCCTCATAGTATGACTGAAACGCTTATCACTTTATTACCTAAAGTCTATAATCCAATTTCTATGAGTCAAATTAGGCCCATTAGTTTATGTACTACAATGTATAAAGTAGTGCAAACTTTTGGTTTGCAAACCGCGGCCTATAAGAGCACTTCCAATGTAGGAAGGCGTCCTGGGTAATAGGCAATCCAATCCCTTTAAATAAACAGTGATTACCTACAACGAATAATAACTGCCCAAGTTCATCTCCACTCCTAAATTAAATAGCCCAAGCAATTCATATTAAAATTTTAATATTTTTTTATTTTATAAAATAATAAAAGATAACTTTATTTTTAATTTTGGATAATAATAAAAGATTGGTTGAAAGTATTTGAAAATATTGAAATGTAGTGTGAAGTGGAAGAAAATGGTTAGGTATTTATAGAGAAAAAAAAATTATAATTTTTTATATTTCTATTTAGTTTTTTTTTATTTTTTTTTATAATTTTTAATAATTGCTACAATTTTTTAATAATTTAAATTGTGGTTGACTTCAGCTTTATGTAACATAGGCAGGGTGATGGGCTAGGCAATTATTGCTTGACTTCTCTATCAGGCTCACCTTGGGTCCAATTGCATGGGTGGGTTGGAGTGTTTTGGGGAGGGGGAGAGTGGATTGGGTTGCCAATCCCCAAGCCAATAAGCATTGGTGGAGCTGCTCTAAGAGCACTTCCAATGTGTAAAGGCTCCCCTTAGCAATAGACAATTCAATCCCCTCAAGTGAATAGTAACTGCCTTTAATGAACAGTAATTGCCTATTGCATCTCCACTCCTATACTGAATAGCTCAAGTAATTCGTAATATAATATGGAAATTGTTATTAGTACTCCAAAAATCTCATTTGGCACTCCATATAAAATAATAAAAATAATTTTATTTTTAATTTTGGATATGATTTTAAACCGATCTCGTCATGCCACGTGTTATTATCCGAAAGTACAATTTTTGTGGATAGATTTCAATAAGATTTTTAACCAATTCTGTCATGGGACGTGTCCTTACCTATTTAGAATCGTTGAAAATATTGAAATGTAGTGTAAGATGGGAGAAAATGGTAAGGTATTTATAGAAAAAAAATTATAATTTTTTCATAATTATTTTGAAATTTTTTTGGTTTTTTAATTAATTTTTAAATTTTTATTAACTTAATTAATCTGGACCGTTGGATTACAAAAAATTGAAATCCAACTGTCCAAATTGTGACACATTGCCCACACGCACGTGTTGCCCACGCGATTGACACAAATTTTTTTTTAATAACGTGGCTAATGTCAGTGATCGGGGCTTAGATTTTAGCTTGACCTCTTGGTTGGGCTCCCCTTAGCCCAATTGCCCAAGGTGGGCTGGAAGGGTTTAGGGGGCATTGGATTTAATTTGTTACCAATCCACAAGGCTATTGCCCACAGTCCAAATGCTCTAATGGAGAAGATTATTAGCCCAAATCAAGTCAGTTTTGTTCCTGCGCCGTCATATAATAGATAATATTGTTCTAGCTCAGGAAGTTCTACATAAGTTTAAGCTTGCTAAAGGAAAAAATGGCTTCTTGGTTTGGAAAATTGATTTGTCTAAAGCTTATGACAGATTGTCATAGAGTTCCATTGCTTATGTTCTTTTTTAAATTATATTAATGGAAGCTTACTCTAGGTTATCTTGAGTTGTATAATGCTGTCAATTTCAGAGCTATCGTTAATGGAGAACGTACTGATGCATTTCAACCAGGTTGTCGTATAAGACAAGGTGATCCTCTTTCTCCTTATCTTTTCGTTATTTGCATGGAGAAGCTAAGTCATTTGATTACCAATGAAGTTAATAAGAAAAGATGAAAACCTGTCAAAGTGTCAAGATGAGGTCCTGATATTTACACAAAATTATATCCTTCCTAATAAAGGACTCCTAATATTTACACAATCTACACATGCGCTTTTTAATTAACTCACATTTATACTCCCCCTCAAGTTGGTGCATAGATATCACTCATGCCCAACTTGCCAAGTGAGTCATCAAATGTTCTACTACATACGGCATGAGTAAAGACATCCGCAAGTTGTTATTCAGAATTAACAAACAATATAGATACAATCTTTTTCTCAATAAAATGTCAATCAACCTCCTCATGCTTCGTCCTGTCATGTTGTACCGAATTATCTACTACATCCCTCGCAGACTTGTTATCACAATATAACTTCATAGTCTTCTTTGGCTTGAACCCAAGACCCTAAAGAAGTCTACGTAACCAAAGAATTTCACAAACCCCCTAAGCCATACCCCTATACTCGGCCTCAGCTGATGACTGAGACACCACCTTATGTTTCTTACTTCGCCATGTAACCAGATTTCCTCCAACAAAAGTAAAATACCCAGAAGTGGAATGCCTATCAGTCACATCACTTGCTCAATTCGCATCAGTAAAAGCTTAATCCTCAGGTGCCTATGTCTTTCATACAATATTCATTTCCTTGTTGCAAACTTTAAATATGACAAAATACGCATAACAGCAGCCATGTGATCCACACTCGGTGAGTGCATAAATTGACTCACAACACTTACAACATAGGCAATATCTGGACGAGTATTGATAGGTGCATTATTTATCATATTTTCATATTAATTATCCCTAGGTTTTTTTGAGGAATTGATTATAAAAGCTTTCCTTTTCTCAGTTTCAGCCATTCGGCGCACTTAGAACATTTTTGGTGATAATTCGACTTTTTAGAGAATTTTTTATGCAAGGCCAATTGTGTCTGAATTTCATAATTTCCCATGAAGCCAAACATTCTAGTTTTGCAAATCAATCCTGCAAAAGTTGTTTTCCCGTCAGAACTGCACAGCTGTGGGAGAATGATGATTTGAAGGCTTTCCCGATTTTTCCTAGTGGCGTGCGATATATACTTGGAATGATAAGAGATAAAGCTACGTTTCCCATATGTTTACAAAATTTTCCAGAAGATAAATCGACCTCAAAAATGGCGTGCAAGACAGATGACGTGTTTCCCAAGCCAAGAAGGATTCTTTCCTAGTTTGTGTCATTAATTGTTTATGAGTTTGTTTTATTTAGGAGAATTTATCCCATACCTTTTGGGGTTTTTCTAGTATAAATAAGGTGCCCTAAGCTCTCTCTACAAAGTCTGACATCACCCCACATCCATACTATCATTCACCATCTCCGCAATTTGTGAAGAAAAGCTTAGGGACGTGCTTTGCCATGGATTCGTTTCTATCTTTCTTTTATTTTTATTTCCATATGTAACGAAGTTATTTTCTAAGGTTTATGATGAAGCCATGAGATGAATATTTGCGAAGTACTTTGTTAATTATTATCCAATTATATGCCATGTTATATTCTTAATCTTTGTGGGTATATTTTATTCTAAGTTTGAATTTCTAATGACTGATCACCTTTAGGAATTTTTCATTTATATATTTAGATAAATCTATGAGGATGACCGATCAATTAGGTTTATTGGAGCTAAGGTTAAGAAGAGTAGACAAACTAGTGAGAATGACAAATATCAAGCTAGTCCTACTTGGTTGACATGATTCTTCTATACTTAATGGGTTTTTATGTGTTTAATTGTATGCCTAACCAATAGGATATAGTTATCATGTAAAGATACAAGAGTTGATGCCAGACCACGGAATAATTCGTACCTTAGAAAGAACAACTTTTGACATTGGCATGGTAATTGGATAGTAGTTGGCTCTAGGCAAAGTAAATAGGATTGTTGTTGGTGGATTCATAACCTTAGACTTCCATTGTTTCTCAATTTCTTCTTGTGTCGTGTGTGATTTTAATTAATTGTCTTTTGTTTTTCTTGTTAATTTTAGTCTTAATCAATTAATCAATTATTAAATTCAATCTACCCTTTGTTTGTTTAATTAAGTCTAGCGTGATTAATCGGTTAAGTTGTGTTAAAGCAATCCCCGTGGGATCGACCTCGTATTTACATATATTACTACAATTGATTCATGTGCTTGCGAGTTTGATTTGGTTTAGATTAATCTATTATTTAGGTTGGTTTAAATACACATCGAGTATGAGCCAAATAAATCAGTCTCCCTACCAGTCTCTAATATCTACCCTTATCTACCAGTTTATGATCCGGATACAAACCCAGATGATGTTTTTCCACAATGGGAGTATCCACAGGCTTACACCCCTAGCATACCCGTTTCCTTTAATAAATCCAGAACATATTTACGTTGGGACAAGAAGATACCTTTGGATGAGCGAGCAACTTCAAATCCAAGAAAGTACTTCAAATCCCCCTAAATCCTTCATTTCGAACTCTGCAGCAAGGCTCCTTTGCCATTTTAATATTTTCTCATAATCATCACCTGTTATAATCATATCATGTTCATAGATAATCAGTGCAGTCACTTTATCATGCCTACACTTCACAAATAATGTGTGATCAGGATGACTATGACGATACCCATTCTTCTTCATAGCTTGAGTAAACCTATCAAATCATGCATGAGGTGATTGCTTAAGTCCATAAATTGACTTACGTAATCGACATACACCGGTTTTTCCACCAACATCATAGTCAAGAGGAAAATCCATATACACCTCTTCTTCCAGATGACCATGAAGAAAAGCATTTTTCACATCGAACTGTGTCAATTGTCAGTCCATATTTGCAACTAGAGAAATAAGAACACGTACCGTATTCATCTTGGCTACTGGAGGAAAATTTTCTTGGTAATCCACGTACCATATGTTTGAGTATATCCTTTTGCCACCAACCTTGCCTTGTACCTGTCAATCGATCCATCAGCCTTGTATTTAATTGTAAATACCCAACAACACCCAACAAGCTTCTTTCCCTTGGGTAGCTCTATTATTTCCCATGTATTATTTTTCTATAGCGCCAACATTTCTTCATCCATTGCTTTTACCCATTTTGGATCCTTCAAAGCTTCTTCCACTCAGGTTAGAATCGAAACAGACTCCATACTATTTCACCAACGCTTGCATGATATGTAGTTGGCTATTGGGTACTTCACTTTTCCTTCCGAAGAAAACTTATCACACACCTGGATTTTTGCCTTGGTCACAACTTACATGAACTTACAACATTATTTGGATTAGTTGCATAATCATCTATTATACTTTCCTCAGGTATACTTAGATGAGATGTATTGGACGGCACGGTGGAGCTAGAGAGAGGGTGGCATACTAATAAGCTCGGCAAGAGGTTGTTGTGGCTGGGTATTATATGGTTCAGCAGCAGATGGCTGCTAATCATCACTAATCTAGACAGAAGTTAACCGAATGTCCATGCTGCTCTCGGCAGGAGCTGGTCGAGGCTCTATCTTGTTCTCAGCAAGAACTAGCCGAAACTCTGTAGTGCCTAGGTCAGAAGGTACATGTTGATCTGCTTTACTATTCTCGGTGGCATCACCTGGATATTCTTATCCCCCTGAAATACTTTGATCACAAACTCCTTCCACGTCCAACCAACCAAGATCACCAGCAGAGCTAGTATTCTCCCCCTGGTGATCTGAAGTTGGAATGGACGAAGTATAAAATATTCAGACTCTGAAAAAGTAGCATTCATTGTCATATACATACGTCGAGTTTTTGAATGATAACATTTATACCCTTTTTGCTAAGATGCAAAACCAACAAAGATACACCGAATGGCACATGGATTAAGCTTACTATAGTGAATTTTCTGAATATGAACATACGCAACACACCTAAATACTCGATGGGTGAGAGTATTAGTCAACACCACTGGAGCATGTTGAGTGAGAACTTGGAGAGGTGTTCGAAATTCTACAACTTGGGATGGCATACAATTGATCACATGTATTGCATAAGTGACCACTTGAAGCCAAAAAAACTTAGGCAAGCAATGCACATGAAATTTCAAGAATGAGAGGGTTCTTTCTCTCAGCAACCTCGTTTTGTTGTGGGGTATATGAAGGCACATTGTTTCATGAAGAATTCCTTGATCACGAAGAAACTCAGATAACTCAAAATTAACATATTCACATCCATTGTTAGAGCGAAGAACTTTAACAGTATAGGAATATTTTTTTTAATCATCTGAGAGAAAGAACGGAACACCATACCAACATCACTTTTACTTTTAAGCACATATAGTCAAATCGTAAAGGTGCAATCATCTACAAATGTGACAAACCACTTAATTCCAGATGAAGTAACAACTGGAGATAACCCCCAGACATCAAAGTGCACAAGATCAAATGAAACATGTCTTTTATTCATACTAGGAGAAAACGAAGCACGATGGCTTTTAGCAAGAATACATACTTCACAATGTAAGTCTAATTCACTTATTTCATGAAATAAACTAGGCAACATATGCCTTAAATAACCAAAAGATGCATGGCCCAATCGACAATGCAATAACCATACTTCTTGTAAATTACTAGCACGAGACTCTTGAACCGTATTAGCTCTGCCAAGAACGATGTCATCCACATAGTACAACCCCTCTCTCTTAGTGCCATGCCCAATTATCTCCTCAGTTTGAGTATTATAAAGTAGACAAAAGGACGGATACATTAGCACAACATAATCCAGTTGTTCAGTAACTTGTGGTATAGAGAGAAGACGATGTGATAAAGAGGGGACAAATAAGTTACGATGTAGAGACAAAGATGGAGTAAGATTCACGTTGCTTGCTCCAAGAACTAAGGCAGTGGAACTGTTAGCAGTGGCTATACACTTTCTATGAGGTGTTGTCATATACTGAAACAAATTCTTATCATATGTCAAATGATCAGTTGCATTAGAATCCATAATCCAACCTATATGATGCTTAGTGTCTGAGGCTAAAAGAACACGCCTTATAGTACCTGTATTGGATAAGGATTCACTAGGAGCAACACAGGTCAACAGTGTTTGACTTGGATCTCAAAAACTAGGCTCGGCCTTCTTGGTGTTGGGTGCGGCAATAGCAAGAAAGGCACGACCTCCATTGGTTCCACTATTTCCTCGCTTTTTTGCACATAAGTGTTTCTTCATCTTCGGAAACCAATCGGGTACTCCATGTTTCGCAAAACATGTATCTTCAGTATAACAGGTTTGACCACAGAATGTACACTTCAAATCATCTTTGTTTTCTCAAGTAAAAGGATGAGAATTCGAAGATGAATTTGAAGAGAACGTTGAACGGGAAATGGACGATGGCCGAGACACCATTGCCACAAATGGCGCTCCTCCTTGGTTGCTCATGGTACTCCCACCCATCATAGTGGCATGCCGTTGTGCGATCAAGCCTAACAACAGAAAACACCTCCTTGACATGTGGTAATGGTTGAGTTTGTAAAATATCACTGTGTACCTTATCGAATATATCATCTAATCTTGCCAGGAAGGCGTACATATGATCAAGTTGAATTTACTCTTGAAGGGTCTTTAAATCAATGGCACACTCCATCTTGATAGGCCAATGTTGATCGAGTTCTTGCCAAACGGATTTAAGGTCAACATAAGACGCACCAATAGGACGCTCTTTGTGACGAAGTCAAAATGACTTTACCTTCAACTCATAAATTTGGGAAATATCAAACCCATCATAATACGTGCAAGCAACCTCTTCCCACACTTCCTTAGCCGTGCAAAGGTGGATGAAAAAAACCCATGATAGTAGGATCCATGGAGTTAGATCAACCATCCTTTCATAATTGCATTCCCTATCTCCCATGTTTCATAATCGACACTACCTTCACTAGGTTCCTTGATGCTCCTTGTCACAAACTTCTTTTCCATGTCTAGCTATATGCATCTCCAAGACCTTGGACCAAAGTGGGTAGTTCGATCCATTAAGTTTCACTGTATTCGGTACGGCTGAAGCATCATTCTGAATAACCACTCGATTCAAAACTAGGTTCTTGGTTGTGCTTCGCGAATCACCCTCCAACTTCAGTTTTGGGCTTTCCTCTGAACACTTCCCAATTAGCACAAGGAACTTGGCACAGCACAACAGAAGGTAGAACGCACCTCTGCGATTTCCATAGCAGTACACGGCAAGAGCAGATGCAACTCTTGCAGGAAACAGACACGATAGCAGCAAAAAATTGTTTTTTACGGTTAGGGTTACGGCAAACTAGGCTTGGATGCCAATTAGAACTTTTACAGCTTAATTCTCATTGTATTACATAATCAAAGATATATACACATACAATCCTTGTTCTATAAGGTAACAATAAAGGACACAAAATTATATCCGTCCTAATAAAGGACTCCTAATATTTACACAATCTACACATTCCCTTTCTAATTAACTCATGTTTACATAAGTTATGTGCTTTTTCCAGTGAATTAGTAAATTTTGAGAAGTCAAAACTTTTGTTTTTTCAAATACTAGGAGAAGAGTGGCTCGTAAAATCAGCAGGATATGTGGCTCAAATGTAGCTAGCTCACTTGGGACGTATCTTGGAGTTCTTTTATTGCATAAAAGGGTCAATAAATCAACCTATCAATATGTGGTGAATAAAGTTCAAATGAAGTTGTCTTCTTGGAAGAGTAAAATGTTTTCTATGGCAGGTAGGCTTAATTTAATTAAGTCTATTGCTTCTTCTATACCGGTCACACTATGCAAACAGCTAGCATTCCTATCAGTATTTGTGATTCTCGTGATAAAATCAGTAGAAAATTTCTTTGGGGTAATATGGATAATAGAGCCAAACCACACCTTGTGAGTTGGAACAAAGTTTGTTGTCCTATGATTAAAAGGGGGGTCTTGGCATTAAAAAAGAAAATCAAATGAATAAGGCCCTTCTTACTAAATCAGGTTGCAGGTTACTAAATAAGGACAATGGTCTATGGGCTAATATGTGTAGGCAAAAGTATCTCAAACATGGTGAGGCTGATCATTTTAAAATTAAAGTCTAGAAGGGTGCTTCTTCTTCTTGGAGGAGTATGACTCATGATGTTGAGACTTTTCATAAAGGCCTGAAATGGAGAATTGGAAATGGTCAAAATACAAATTTCTAGTTTGATATTTGGGTTTGAAATGATACCTTGATTAATTATGCTCTACCTTCAGTTCATGGCTTTGATCCAGATTTTAAAGTTGCAGACTTCATTGAGGATGGGTCTTGGAATGTTGATAAGTTAAGTCTTATGATTCCTCCCCAAGTTATAAAAAAAATTCTTTGTATTCTGGCTGCTTTGTCCTGTGGTGGCAATGACTCCATGATTTGGAATGGCACCAATAATGGAGAGTTCAGTGTGAAAAGTGGTTATCTTATGCATTTTCCTAACCAGGAATTTGCTGATAGTTCTTGGGCTTTCATTTGGAAAATCAAGTTGCCTCCTAAGTATAATGCTTTCTTTGGATTTTAACTCATGGTAAGCTGCTGACTAATAAACAACGTTTTAAAAGATAGATGTCTAGAAACACTTTCTGTCAGATTTGTAATTCTGTAGTGGAGAATATTTCACATGTTTTCTCAAGTTGTCATGCTGCTATTTGGAGAAATATTTTCTTTCCACATCATCTTCATTGGAACCAATTTGATTCCTTTTTTGGTTGTGTGGGGGCAAATTTAAAATGCAATGATCCGCATGAGCTTGGGTTATCTTGGAATCTTGTTTTTGCTGTAGCCTTATGGTTCATATGGAAGTGGAGGTGTTATGCTATTTTTTGTCCTAATTTTATTAAACCTCCGGATCCAAAGAAATGTATCTTGGAGTATTCTACTGAATGACTCAAAGGTAATGCTAGCATCTCAAGTAAACTCAACCGTGTGCAGTTTCTCTTAGCTTGGGTTCCTCATCCGTCTGGGACCTTTAAGTTAAATGTGGATAGTGCTGGGCTTGGTTCTAACAGGGTGATTGGAAGTGGAGGATTAATTAGAGACTGGCATGCTAACTGAATCACTAGTTTTATTGCTAGGAAAGGAGTTTGGGAAGTTCTCCATGCTGAGCTTTGGGCTTCGTTTTATGGGTTGAAGGTAGCTAAAGCTAGAAATTTTTCTCATCTTATTGTCGAGGCTGATTCTGCTTTGGTGGTCTCACTCATTCATGGTTCACCTAGCCTTATTAATCATCCTCTCTATGGTCCTATCTCGGAGTGCAGAAGTTTGATCATAGAGAATTAGAGTTGTAATGTGTAACATGTTCATAGAAACCGTACTTTTGTAGCTGACGAGTTAGCCAAATTGAGTTTAAATAGCAAGATAGAGTTTTAAGAATTTGCGGAGCCTCCTCCTTGTTTAGTTCAAACTTTTTTGGATGACTTCTCTGGAGTTGCTGCAGCTAGATTAGTTGTTCCTTAGTGTTTTCTTTTTCTTCTTCAATGTTACCGGAAAAAAAAAAAAAAAACAAGAAGAAGATATTTCTTTTCTTTTTATTTTTTTTAATTTTAATTATTTGAGTTTAATGGGTTTTTTATTTCAGTGTTCTTCCTTTGGAAACATATGACGTTTTGGATTCCGCGACATTTCGCCAATACTTTACGTTGTCTCGCGTGCGCGCGCGTGTGTATTGAACTATGGGATACACAAGGAAGGTGTGGGAAGCTCCCATCATGTGGGAGCCCTTTCTGCAAGCCAGACATTGATCCCAATCTGGGTTAATCTGTAGAGAAAATTGTAGGATTTGTCCCTTAATTTTAACCCAATCGCAGCAATGGTTTATCAACTAAAAATTCATAATCATTAATCCCTTAACTCATCAAAATGTGCAGCTATGATCATTTTCGTCAACTTCGTTAAATTTCCGTCAAAACGAGTCATGTTGAAAGGACCATTACTACAATTGGGTTAAAGTTGAGGGACCACTACTCTAGTTGGGTTAAAATTAAAGGACTATTTCTCCAATCATAGGTTAAAGTTGAGAGACTATTTTTATTATGTTTCTCATTTGTTTTTTCATATTTGCCCCTTGATTTAGCCTCACGTGCTTGACATGTAACTTGTTAACAGAAGTTGTAACGGAGTTACGATACGTTTCGATGAGTTAAAGGATCAACGTTCATGAAATTTTAGTTTGAAAGACCATTACTCTAATTGAATTAAAGTTGAGGATCATTGCTACAATTTCCTCTAAATTCTGTGTTGACTCATTGATCGAGTAAAATAGAAACCCTTGCGTGTGGAAGGTTGTTTTGCGCCTTTTAGTTGGGAAGACCACTGTTCTTCTGTTGCTTTACACCCTTTCATGCTTCAAATTTCATTGAGTTTCTTGCCCTTTTTGTCTTTGAGTGGAAAACCAAAGCCAAACCACATTGTTGTTTTGTAATGTGTTTGTTATTCTTCCTTGCGGTTTGATATACTGATTAATTAGAACCTTAATCCTTGGGTTTGTGCACACCATTCCTTTCTGATCAGCAAGGACTTTCATAGATGAGTCCGTCAGAGTTTTGCTTGTTATTCATCAGCTTTTTTCCAACAGAAGATTAAACTTTTCCCGTATCCTTGGTCATGGTTGCTGAGGACTGTTTTGTTGGTTTTTCGTTATTAGATGAGGACGTTGGTGGTTGAATTTTTTGTGTGCATAGTAATTAACCTATGTTACTGTATCTGCTCCGCTTAAAGCCTTGTTTTTCATTTTCTTTTGGTATCAGGCAGAGGATATCCGTAGAGAAAGTGGAATCCAAAGCAAGTGAAAATAGCATAGTGGGAGCTCAATTTAGTTTTAAAACGCCGCCAGGTCTTGTAAGCTACTTGGTATCTTGGACCTCCAGAGCCTTTCCGAATTTTGAGCTCCTTGATACTTCAAGTATTGAAAGAACAGATGATTATCGAAAGGTGGAGCAGGACTACAACTCCTTGATACTTCATGCATCAGCTGCTGCTGCTATGGATGCAACTCGGCTTTCTCAACTTGTTTTCAACAATGAGAATTCATATTACTTGAATAGGAGGAGCAGGACTACAACTCCATTCAACTAGAATTTTTGGGCGACTGTATCGCCAGATTAGAGATGCTTGTGATGAAGAAGTGGCAACCTTTCTAAACTGGATTATGCTCCGGATGACATCCCATATGATATGAAGGAGCTTGAAGCATTCGTACAACACTCTTAGGAAAGAATTCAGGCTAGTTTTCGAGAAGTTGGACTCGAATAATGAACGACTTAGTGATGATGAGAAGAGTATGATGTAAGAGCAGAAGGCATCAGCATGATACTAGGTAACTTACCACCCGAAATGGGTTGAAAAGTCAATGCATTTGCAAGAGCCCGATGTTCCTGGGGATGCGGCGATGCTGAGCTTTTCCTGGATTTCAGCTGACTACCTTGCTCGAATCAAGATTAAATGCCATGGAGTGGAACATATTGAGTCTGCAAAGCCGATTAACTCTTTGTTGAGGTACCTCGCTGATCAGATATGACAACCATTTGAAGACCTTAAGAGCTGTGACCTTGTGGCTTTCCGAGCATCTTAAGCCGTTGAGAGTTGTCGGTCTCCTGTCTCTCCGTCAAACTTCATGGCGGTCAAGGCCATTCTGCCAATTTCATTAGGTCAACTTTTATGTTTTATGTTCTGTTTCTTGATTTCTCCTTTGGAAATATGACTTGTTGAAACTACAAGTTTATTGCTTGCTTGCAATTAAAATGCCTTTTGGGGTTGACTGCAAAATTGTTTGTTGCTTTGGATCCTCTCTGCCACCATTCAAACAGCCTGCTAGTTGATATCTTCAGAGATAAACTGAATATAATTTCTGTGTTTCTACCTTTAGAGTCTTTAATTCCGGAATTTAGCGATTTAAAGGTTTCGGTTTTCTGTTCAGTGTTCACCAAGAAAAAAAAGGGTTTCAGTTTTTCGTTTCTTTGACGGAATTCGATGCTGTTTTCCTTCAAAATTCATCTGTCACCCCTGTAATTATCAAACATTTAGTGTATAATTCATCTTTATTCTAACAAGTACTCACTCCAACTGGACTGTACTCTAAAAATGGACTAATAAAGCAGTACATTGAAAAGTTGTAGCTCCACATGAATGAAAAAGTGTAGCTCTAATGAACGAAAATCGCAGCCAACCTAAATGAAAAATTGTAGTTCCACATGCATCGGTTCTTAGATTTGAACACTCCCCTTCAGAGAACCTTGGCCGGAGTCCATGACACCAAATGAGAGGAGAGATCCGTAGGTGGCAGAGAAGTGGAGATGTGCTAACTCATTAATTATGATGTTTTAATGAATTTAATTAATCGAAATAGGTTCTATGGTTCATTGTTCTTAGCGAAGTATAGGTTGATTTTCGTAAAATAGAAGCGCACTCTTGATCACGTAATCTTAGGCAGTCCATGTATAGTGTGCTTTAATTAGAATAAGAACGCTAATATGAACCAAAAGAAACACATTCATATAATAATGTGCTTTTTCATTACACAAGTTGCACCGTCTCAGTGCACTTGTTACAACCAAACCATCCATAGATTCCATGCAATCAGATTCAGAAGTACTACTTATGTTTTCTGACAGTGATATAAGGAGTAGAACCTAAGTTCGGTGCTACTTGGGGTGTCGTACAATCACCACCTTGGACTGAGAAGCAGGAAGTTGGAGTGAGTGGCAGTTGGTTTTCCAGTGATTTCAATGGGAGAGGACTTAATGGGAAAAGCTGACTTGGGCTTTGCATTCCCTTCAGTGGTCTCAGGCAAGCCAGGTACCCATTTGATTGATTGTCGCATAGGGGCAGCTTTGTTGCCTGAGTTGCTGCTTCCTTCTCCTTCGCTACTGAAGCTCCACTCGGGTCCTGCCATGAAGTATCCACAGATGGTTAGATGGAGTTTTTCGTGTTTCTTAATCGCAGAGGCTAAAGAGTTCTATGTTTGAGCATTCTATCAGAAACAGAAAATATACTAAAGAATTCCAATTTCTTAGAAACCAGAAAAGCTGCAACCTAGCATGCTGCACTGTAGCCTAGCATGTTGAAACATGGTTTGAGACTAACAGAAGGACTTACCCCAAGCATGAGAAAAGTGAATGCTTGATTGTCTGCCCCGAGATAGATTTCAATCAACTTTCGCAGGTCAGCAAGGGTTGCGTCTTTTACAACCTTCAGTGTTGTAATAAACTTCCCCGGATTTTCTTTTGAGCCCTCCCATTTCACATACACTTCAGTTGTATCCGAATCAATGCCCTCATTTGAAGGGTCGCAGTTTTCTTTGGAAGCCAATGCTCTCTCATCACACACTCGGCTTTTGTTTATCTCTGGTTCCACCAATTTTTGCTCATTTTCTGATTTAACTGATGCAACAGTAGGTGCTTGACTTGGGATATGCTGAGATAGCTCTCTGTAGTTTCCACAGAGTGTAAATATGTTGCGGATTCTGACAAGCCTATCATCCGGTTTTCCATTGCTATCTTCTTCCTCTGGATTTCTGCTTTGCCGATGCACAGTTGGTGTATCTTGATATTCCTGAGGTAAAGATGTCAGGTAGCCCACATTATAATTACTCCTGAAGCTAGATCCATCAACCACACACACTCTCTTTTCCTCTATAACTTCTTTCTCAACCTCTTCAGCCTCTGCATTTTCATTAGCTCCTTCCTCTTCTTCCATTTCTTCTTCCTCAAAAACAGTGCTCAGGCATACCCTGTCAGCATATTTTGGTTCAAAAGAATCAATGTGTGCAGCATTTACAATATTGCTGTCAGATTGAGAAGCAACCCCAGGTACCACTCCTACATATTTGATCTCCCGAGCAAACGGTTCTTGATCATCCATGTCTAAATCCATTGACTTTACCATTCCTCCTGCATCATCACTGGCATAGATTCCTAACAACCTTTTGGCAAACTGCGTTCCATCAGGCTCCTTTGACCCGCTCTCCTTACCATTTCCATCACTTGAGCGGCACAGTTCAAGCTCAATTTCCTCCAGCCGCTTTCTCAGCATCTCAACTTCCTGCTGCTGTTGCAAAATCCTTTCTTCCATTCTCCTTCTCTCTAGTTCAACAAACTCATTAGCCATTCTCTGGCATTCAGCCAATTTCTTTTCCAACTCATATTTCAGAGTCTGGGCCACTTCATTCACCTTCAAGTTGATTTCTTCCTCCTTTGCCCCAGATCTCTTCCCTTCTGTAAGCTCAAGTTTAGATCTCAAAGCAGCAACCTCCTCTTCTTTCTTCATTAGCTCCTTGTGTGCTTCATTCCGCTCTTTCTCTTTGAGCTTATTCTCCCTTTGCAGTTTAAGGATAAATTCATCCATGGCAGCAATCCTTGATCCTAAAATAACTGCAGATGCATCTTCAGTCCCAGTTTTGTCCTTGAGTGGCGTATGAGGGCCGCGGACAATACATTTTGCTTTTGCACCATATTCAAGGGTGGAGATTGTCTTGTGTATCTCCTTTGGGTCCGGACTTGCACACAGGACCATTAAAATTTTTGTCTTGTCGTCCTCAAAAGAATCCTGGACAAAAGGAACAGAAGAACCATCATCCACATACTCTTACACAGTTAAAGGGCACCATATAAACCTAGTAACTGGCATTAGTGTGACTAAAAGTAACCTGTAGAAGCATGGTCAGTTTGCTGTCCCTGAAGGGCACATGAGAATCGCCATTGGCAATGGATTCAACTACCCTTTTCAAAGCTATGTTTCCTTGGTTGATCTTTGCAGTCTGCAAATTCAATGTAAGCATAACTCAGCAATCGTTATGATGCCAATGAAAGTGTTGCATACAATACAAGCATAAATTAAGCACGACCACGGAGAAATTACCTGCATTTTTGCCTCGAACCCAATTTGGCCTGCTTGCTCGATATTTTCAGATCCAGCCATGTCCACAAGCATCAAGCGGCCTCCCACTGTTGGCACATCAAGGATTATCTGTACAGAAATTGGAAAAAAAGTTATATCCAACTAGTGGAAAACAAGATTTGGTTTATTATTATATAATTGAAAGTTTGAGGGAATTCTACCATGCAATGGCTTCGAGAACTTCTATCATTGCAAAGGGTGCTCTTAACAATCCTTCTCTTTTCCACTTTCTGAATCTCTTTTGAAATTTTCCCAGCTTCATTTCCAGAAATGTAGGTTGCATTCTTTGCCTTCTTTCCCATCACTTCAAGCCTAACCTGCAGATCCAAGTAATAGTACAGAAAACCAAAGCAAAACTATGTACAGTGAGCCAACAGAACCAAACCAATTTATCCTTATAAATTACAGTGAGCAAACCAATTCAGAGTACGTTATAATTAGTTTTCTTGAATTGAAGTGAACACAACCAACTTAATCAAATTTACAGTGAGCAAACACAACCAAATCTAAAAATTCAAACTTGCATAAAACCCATTTCCAAATCCAAACTTAGAGTTCTAAACAAAAATTAAATGTGACAGAAAACTCATAAATCATCAAGAACTAAATAAGAAAAGGAAGAGAGACCCAGTTAGTCTAATCACCTTAGAATTGAAGGTATTCCCCCTAAGTTTAACCAACAACCAACCAAATCCAAATATCGAAATTTGCACAGAAAACCCATTTTCCAAATCCGAATTTACAGTTCTAAACACAGAATTTTTTTACAGAAAAACCATAGATCGTCAAGAATTCAACAAGGAAAAGAGAGACCCAGTTAATATTATCACCTTAGAATTGGAGCCATTGCTCTTTGGCCATCCAAACCCGAATCCTCCGCCGCCATTGCTCGACAACAAATCATAAATCTCCTCATTGTAAATCTCCAAAACAGTGACCTGCACAAACGACCCAACCGCCGTACCACCATCGTCTTCTCCGTCCCCAAGAATATCTTTCAGCGACCTGTAAACAATCCCAGGCTGCTTGCAACACCCGAACATGGTGTGGCTCTTCCCTGAACCAGTGGGTCCGTACATCATGATCGTACATTTTTCCCCCAATTTCACGCTGTCAATCCTGGACTGGACAAATTTTCTGTAAAACGTCCCAAGTCGTCTTCTTCAGACAAAGAAACCCCATCGAGCGTGAAATCCCGGTATCCAAAATCAGCCCGGACCCGAATACTCTGCCTCTGAGGATTGATCTGGAGAACCGATGCGGGTTGTTCTTTTCGATCTGGGTGGTCTCGGATTCGGGCTAGGACTTCGACCGGGTGCTCCGCCGGCGGGTCTTTTACTGCTGAGTTAGGGGTCGGAGATGGGTGGGCTTTCGGAAACTGGAGGCGGTGCTTGGACAGCGGAGTCTTGAACTGGGTTGTATGGCAGTGGTTTAATTTGGAAGAAGACGGCGTCGGAGCCATTTTGGGGTTCAAGAATCCAAGATTTGATCTGAGTTGCAGAGACGATGAGGGTTAGAGAGAGAGAGAGAGAGAGAGAGAGAGAGAGAGAGAGAGAGAGAGAGAGCTGGAATGGAAGAGTCTTGGAAAGGAATTAAACGAAGTCAAAAGGATTGTAATTTGAAAATGAGGGGCTTTCAGAATTGCATTCGAACTTTAAAAATGTAGCCGTTGTGATTTGTAACGTCTAGTTTATTTTCCTTTTGTTTTGTTTTTTTTTTTTTTTTTTTTTTAATTTCATCTGCTTTTCAAATTGACTTGGTGGGTCAAGTAATTTCAACGTTCCTTTTAACAATGATTTTTCATTAGAAGATGCATATCTTTTGTCTCAAGGCTACTATCTAAAAAGTGAGTGACAACATAATACAAAATTTTGTTATGGTAAAAGGAAAATGTGAAATTACTAAGCAAATTCACTGTATTGATTTCTAAGGTATAAAGGGTTCAAAGAACCCCGCAATTGTATTAAGCATGAAAAGTAGAGGTGATAAATTAGCTCATTTAGTCGTTAATGAGTATCTATTAATATTCATTTAGTTTGATTTCATCTTACACATCATCACCATTATCAATCTCACTCCTATATCATGGTGATATCAAATTAAACGAGTTTTAACGAGTGCCCATTAACAACCCAATGAATTGATTTGCCACCACTTATGAAAAGTAATTGATGGTATGGTAAACCATAGCCAAATTAATGGCCCGAAAAATACTTTCTTAACTGCTAGATGTAAATTTTTGTCACTTAATATAACGGTTAAGGTTAATGATATTTTTCTTTATTGTTAGTGAGATGTTTTAGCTTGAATTCCCTTTCTAATAAATGTAAGGGAATTTTTTGAAATGTCAACTTATACATAATTTTCAATTTTTCCTATAAACTAAAATTTCAAATGAATTGTATATATATTTTCCAATCTTTTTTTCTTTTTACCATCTCACACAAACTCTAGTAAACTTTCATCCAAAATAACTCATGTGCCCTGCACATTGCTTTTTGTTCGGGGTTGTTTCAGATTTTTTAATTAATTTAGATAATTTGTCCTCTTTGGCAACCAGTGTAAAAGATCAGATAGGATAAATAATACAAACCAGAGTGTTTGGTTCAGTTATGTACTAAATAGGACCCATATTATTCAATTGGACCCACATGTTTTATACTGTATCTGAAAGCCTGCTAATTTACACTCCCAAAACCTGTGTATTATATTAGTCAGGTCTATAAACATGCTCCGTCTTTCTCTCTCGGTCCCGCTCTCGCATCGTTCTGCAAGGCTTACTCCCGTTGCCGTCATCAATTCCAAGTTTTCTTCCTCCTCTTCTTCTCCTTCTCCTCGTCCTTCTTCTCCTCCTCTCTTTATCCTTTGTTCCGCCCTTATTCTCTGTAGGTGTTGGGTTTCCTTCTTTTTTTCTTACAATTTTCTTAGTATCTTTCTAGTTGTAGTTTGTTTTTTTTTTTTTTTTCTTTCTTTCATATTATTAGAACTTTGACAAATACACCTGTATGGAAAGCCGGAATAGTCTAAATAATTAAAATAAATGAATGAAAGAGAAAGAGGTGTCCAACTACAAGTCTACAACCGGATATTTAACATGTTAGATGTTACAATACGAGTTCCTGCCGAATTCATACAGATAAAACTAGCTTTAGGATTTCAATCTTTCTTATTATTCTTCTTCTCCATCTTGGAGGTAATATAACCACATCCTTCGTAGTACAAGTAATAGTTAATAACTCCTAACCAAATTAGGAAATACAATAATAATAATTATATTCTGCTACTACAAAATTATCTATAACTGGCGGTCCAAAAATTGACAAAAAACATATATTACTGTCGGATTTTAAGCAAAATCAAACAGAAAATGGATGCAGTGACATATATAATAAACGACAGAATTTTCAGTGTCAGGAAATGAATTTTCTGACAGAAAATATTCTAAAACCGACAGAAATTGTGTCGGATATAACTGACAGAAAATATATTAATAATAAATAAATAAGAGCATTTCTATCGGATAAAACCGACAAAAAATACTAAAAATGACAGAACTTGTGTCGGATATAACCGACAAAGAATTTATTAATAAGAATAAATAAAAGCATTATTGTCAGATAAAACCGACAAAAAATATATTAATAATAAAAAAATATATAAACCACTTTCTACATTTTCCATATCCTTCCATATTCACTGCATTCACTGCACTTTCTGCATTTTCAACCTATTTCTGCATTGTTGGATATAAACCACCTTCTACATTTTCAACCTGTTTGACAACATGTTTCAAATCCTTCCATATTCACTGCATTCACTGCACTTTGTGCATTTTCCATTTTCACTGCATTTTCCACATTCAACCTGTTTCAAATCCTTCCTCTCTGATGACAACATGTTTGACAGGGGAAGAATTTGTATGGACTATTTATCTTAAACAACATCCATTATTGTTTGCTTCTTACAGTTATCTTAAATAAATGTGCTTGAACTCATGTCTAGCACACACATATACCTTGAGTAGCAATTTTCCTCCACTTCCTCCTATACTTCGTGACCTCGCTGGCCGTATTTGAGGTGTCTCGAGCAGCATCAGCACCATAATGTTGTGCTAACCGTTTTGAGCGACCACATCCGCTCATAGCACCACCACCAACAGAATCCAACCCACTGAAACAAACAACACAAAATTATTCAAGTTTTCCAACAACATCTAACTACTAACAAATTTTAGCAAGTTTAAATTCGTACCCACAGTTCCCCATATGAGAGACACAGAGAGAGAGAGAGAGAGAGAGAGATTGAGGGAGAGAGAGGGGGAGAGAGAGAAAGAGCAAGAGCAAGAGTGTTACCTTCTGAACTTTGGTTGCAAGTGTTGAACTGGAAGTAAATAAGGAGAGAAGAAGGAGAAGGAAATAAGGAGAGGAGAAAAGGGGGAAGGGAGAAGGCATCGGTGCAAGGAAGAGATGAAGGGGTTTTATTCTGGAAAATTTCATTACTATCGGTTAAAACTGATAGAAACCGACAGAAACATTTTCATTACTGGCGATTTTAACCGATAGCAACAAAAAAAAGGCGTTCCACCCCCCCCCCCCCAATTTTAATTCCCGCCCCAAAAAAAATATTGTTATGATTTTAAAAAATAAAATACTAATTGTTTGGTTAATAAATAAATAAATAATATGTATTTAAATAGAATACATTTTTAAAAATTAAATAAACAATTGTTTGGTTTAATAGATAATAACTCATGTAAAATATGCAATAAAGAAACAAAAAGATAATTGTACAATGAAAATGTCATCACACAAACTAAATATTGTCTAATCAATACTTGAAAAACATAAATAAAAATTTAGCACAAATTACTTTTCCCACTTAAAAATTTAGGCAAATTTAATGCAGATATGCATTCTACAAAATTAGTTTCAATGATCGAACCATTAAACTTGTTTGTAGATACTACAAAATCGCATACGTAAAAAATCGTAAAAAACAAACATTCAAAGATTACATAATAGAACAAAAGTTATTTTAGCTCCAATTTAATAGTTATTTTAGCTCCAATTTTAATAATTTTTTACAGCTACACACATCGATCCTATAAGAATGTAATGTGTAGATTTGATCTTCAATTTAAAATATTTACACTAGTGGATACCACAAATCTTATTTTATACTTAATGGAAGTATAACATTAACTCTTAAGTGTTTATTTAATCTATTGTTTTGATGTGATACACATTCTACGAAACTTTTTTCAATGATCTAACAGTCAAACTTATTTGTACACACTCCGAGATGGCATTCATAAAAAATCACAAAAAACAAACATTCAGAAATTAGGTAATAAAACAAAAGTTTTCAACGGTTATAAATGAAAAATCACAATTTAATGGTTATTTTAGCTCAAATTTTGATGATTTTTTACAGCTACACTCCTCGACCCTATAAGAATGCATTGAATGAATTCAATCTTCAATTTAAAATATTTACACTAGTGGATACCACAAGTCTTACTTTATACTTGATGGAAGTATGATATTAACTCTAAGTATTTGTTTAATCTACCGTTTTGACGCTATATGCATTCTACGAAACTTTTTTCAATGCTCCAACCGTAAAACTTATTTGTACATAGTCCGAGATTGCATACGTAAAAATTTTTAAAAACAAACATTCAGAGATTACGTAACGGAACAAAAGTTGTTGATGGTTATAAACGAAAAATCACAATTTAAAGGTTATTTTAGTTCCGATTTTAATAATTTTTTACAGCTACACTCCTCGACCCTATAAGAATGCAATGAATAAATTTGATCTTTAATTAAAAATATTTACACTAGTGGATACCACAAATCTTACTTTATACTTGATAGAAGTATAATATTAACTCTAAGTGTTTGTTTAATCTACCGTTTTGACGCGATATGCATTCTACAAAAAAAATTCAATGATCCAACCGTAAAACTTATTTGTACACACTCCGAGATTGCATACAGAAAAAATTGTAAAAAACAAACATTCAGAGATTATGTAACGGAACAAAAGTTTTCGACGGTTATAAATGAAAAATCACAATTTAACGGTTATTTTGAGTTCCAATTTTAATGATTTTTTACAGATACACTCCTTGACATTATAAAAATGCAATGAATAAATTTGATCTTCAATTTAAAATATTTACACTAGTGGATACCACAAATCTTACTTCATACTTAATGGAAGTATAACATTAACTCTTCAGTGTTTATTTAATCTACTGTTTTGACCCGATACACATACTACGAAACTTTTTTCAATGATCTAACTGTTAAACTTGTTTGTGCACACTCCGAGATCGCATACGTAAAAAATCACGAAAAACAAACATTCAAAGATTAGGTAACAAAACAAAAGTTTTTTACGGTTATAAACGAAAAATCACAATTTAACGGTTATTTTAGCTCCGATTTTGATGATTTTTTATAGCTACACTCCTCGACCCTATAAGAATGCAATGAATGAATTCGATCTTCAATTTAAAATATTTACACTAGTGAATGAATCTTATTTTATACTTAATGGA